TACCACTAGGCCATCGCCTCCCCATCTTGGAGGTGCCAATCAAGCGGGCTGCTTTGTCCTGGATGGTGTCGGGCTTCCTGAGTGTTATTGGGGCTGCACTCAACCAGGCAAGTGGGGAGTATTCCATCTCACTCCTGACTTGTGCCTTGTCGATGGTGGACAGGCTTTGAGGAGTGAGGAGGTGAGTTACTCGCTGCAGTGTTCCCAGCTTCTGGCCTGCTCTTGTAGCCACTCTGTTAATGTGGTGAGTCCAGTTGAGTTTCTGGTCAATGCTAACCCCCAGGATGTTGACAGTGGGGGGATTCAGTGATGGTAACACCATTGAATGTCAAGGGGCGGTGGTTAGATTGTCTCTTATTGGTGATGGTCATAGCCTGGCATTTGTGTGGCGCAAATGTCACTTGCCACTTGTCAGCCCATGCCTGGATATTGTCCAGATCTTGTTGTATGTGAACATGGACTGCTTCAGTATCTGAGGAGTCATGAATGGTGCTGAACATTGTGCAAACAAGACTGGGCATCCATGAGGGGCTGTGGGCCATCACCAGCAGCAGAATTGTACTCCAGCACAATCTGTAACCTCATGGCCCGGCATATCCCCCACTCAACCATTACCATCAAGCCAGGGAATCAACCCTGGTTCAATGGAGAGTGCAGGAGGGCATGCCAGGAGCAGCACCAGGCATACCTGAAGACTAGTGACCCTTCTTCAGAAACTGAGTTCTGACCTGCTGAGCTTTTCCAGCAGCTTCTGTTTTTGTTTCTGATTTACAACATCCACAGTTCTTTCGGGTTTTTTAAACAATTGGCCATGGTTTCATTGTCATCATTATAATCTTAATCCTTGATCTTTATTGAATTCAAATTCCAACATTCTGTCATGGAAGAATTTGAATCTGTGTCCCCAGAACATTACACGGGTTCCTGGATAATTCCATAGACTTCCCTTCAGCACTCTCAAAAGGACAAACAAAAAAAAAGCGAATTACAGCACAGAACAGGCCCTTTGGCCCTCCAAGACTGTGCCAATCATTGTGCCCTAACTATTCTAAAAAACAAAACTGCTTTTATTCGGTCTGTATCCCTCTATTCCCTCCCTATTCATATAGCCTCTTAAATGTCACAACATGCTTGCTTCCACCACCTCTTCTGGCAGTACATTCCAGGCTCCTACCATTCTTTGTGTGAAAAGCTTCCCTCGCACATCTCCCTTAAACTTTCCCCCTTTGACCTTGAACCTGTTCCCCCTTGTCATTGAAACTTCAGTCCTGGGAAAAAGCGTCTGAGTATCCACCCTATCTGTACCCCTCATAATTTTGTAGACCTCTATCGGGTCTCCTCTCAGCCAGTGAAAACAATCCCAGTCTTTTTTTTCCTTCCATATTGTATAAATGTTGTGTTCCCCTTCATTGGTATTCTTCTGAAATGTCCTGATGAGTACAAGATGAAAAGCTGCGATAAAATGTGTCTTTTCTGAGCAGTACTCCATCTGTGTACTGCCATGTGAGTGTGCATTGAGATTGATGCTTTGGTCACCTTTTCTGATAAATTACAAGAAAGCTAGCCTTCAATGATGGGTAGTTCAACATGTCAACATCCCAGTTCTGAGACACAGGCATCAAGTGCAGGATTCTGATTTGAACAAGGAGCCTGCTGTGTGTGTTGGGATTCTGGAACCATCTCGGTTGTATTCAGTTGGCTGTGTGTCGGCACTTTAAGAGAGTGGGTCAGGTGACTCAGAGGTGGGAGATGGAGGGGCAGTTTAAGAGTGACAGTACAGCTGAGAGAAGAAACAATAAAGTGTTCCGTGTTTGAGTTTACCTCCCTCTACCTTGTGTTTTATTTCTGGTTCTAGTGAAGCACAAATGCAACAACTGATGATGAGAGTGGGATCAGACCACAGTCTGTGTGAAAGCTGTTTTTTCTTGTTGGGACAAAGGACTTTGCTGTTACTGACACCCGCTGGCAAGGGATCTGGTGACAGGGAGAGTGTGCACTGTGGGGACTCGGGCTGAGAGTGGCAACTAGAGTTGATAGCCGGAAAGATTCCCAGTGGTGAGAAAACAAAATGGTGGGCCAACTCGGAGCAATGGGACTGTTTGAGGATCCGATTGTGTCGACCAAATGTTTTAACATGTAGGTAAAGATGAACAAAGTGTCTAAGGACATTGTGATTGGTTTTCCCCAGTACCATCAGGAACAAAACCTTTTTAAAGGAGAATGCTGCTGATGAGGAAACCGTGCTCACAAGGAGTCAATAGGTTGGACTGGAGAAGCCCAGTACCACAGGTATAAGCGAGTGGATCATATTGCCCGAAACTAGAAAGGAACAACCCTGAGGACAAGGCACAAGGTACATGCTGCCAAGTTGGGGGTAGACCAGGAGTCCGTCAGGTCTGTGGGAGAAACAGAAGGCCCAGGGTGTCAGCAGAGTTCCAGTTAAACATTGTGTCCCTGTGGGGTGAGGCTGATTGTTTCTGGGTTCTTCCTGAATTTGAGGGTAAGACAGTAAAGGCAGAAGTGTAACAGGTGCAGCTCTGATTCCTGAATCAATATATTGGGAAAAGTTAAAGGCCTTGCCACTGAAACATGCCTAGATTTTTTTTTTTATTCATTCATAGGATGAGGGTATCACTGGCCAGGCAGCATTTATTGTCCATCCCTAATTGCCCAGAGTCAACCACATTGTAGTCACATGTAGGCCAGACCAGGTAAGAATGGCAGTTTCCTTCCCTAAAGGACATTAATGAACCTGATGGGTTTTTCCCAACAATCAGCAATGGGTTCACAGTCATCATTAGATTCTTAATTCCAGATATTTATTGAATTCAAATTCCACCATCTGCTGTGATGGGATTCGAACCCAGGTCCCCAGAATGTTAGCTGGGTCTCTGGGTTAACAGTCCAGCAATAATACCGCTAGGCCATCACCTCTCCCTATAAGATTATACTACAGACATACACAGGACAAGCGGTGCCACGGAACTGCTGGAAGTACAGCTGAGGGACCATTGTGTGGAATTTTCTCTGTATGTGGTGAAAGGCAATTACCCTGTATTATTCAGATACTCCTGGTTACAGAATTTGAAGTTAAATTAGGGTGTCATTAATAGGCTAGCAGGCTCAAAAAGAAGTTTGCAAGAGATTTTGGACAGATACAAGGATGTCTTCAAGGGAATGGGGGGTGGGGTTGGTATGAAAGGAGCAGAAATTAAACTTTGGTTAAAGTGGGAGACTAGTCCAAGGACTCTAAAGGTGTGTCCGGTACTGTACATCATCAAAGCCTAAAGTGGAGAGTAAATTGGAAAGGCTGATGGACCTGAGAGTGTTGAAACGAGTAATCACCAGTGAATGGGCCACTCCCATCATTCTGGTCTTAAAAACAGATGGTACGATGAGGATTTGTGGTGACCTTAAGGTTACAGTCACCCTAGCCCTGAGTGTGGATCAATACCCACTTCCATGCATGTTCAGTAGACTGGCTGGGGGAAGAAATTCTCAAAACTGGATTAGCCACAGGCCTCATGAAGGAGCTGCTGCTGAAGGTAATGGTATACCGGGGACTCTTCCACTACAACCAACTCTCTTTTGGCATCATGTCAGCACAGAGCCATGGAACAAATATTAAGCAAATTGCCAAGAGTCCAGTGTTATCCAGACGATATTTTAGTTCCTGAATCGTCTGAAGAAGAGCATATGAAAATCTGAGAAGAAACCCAATAAGAGGTTGCAAGGGTACGGCCTACGAGTAAAAAGGGAGAAATGTGGGTTTTTGAAGACTCCACAGAGTACCTGGGCCACATAATCAATGCTTAGGGACTGCACAAGGTGTCCAAGAAAATGGAGGCTCTCACGAAGACCCCTAGACCACAGAATGTGTCTCAACTGAGATTATTTTTAGGATTTGTACATTGTTGTGGCAAGTCCATTTCTGATTTCACAACCGTGCTGAAACCCTGCTGGGAAAGTCCGCACCTTGGAAACTGACCCAGGAAGTTCAGGAGGCTTATTGGGAGGTGAAGCAAGCCCTAAAAAGGTTGGAAGTGTTCATACATTTCAACCCAAAGTTGCCTCTGGCAAGTTGATGTGAGATGCCTTCCCTTATCGTGTCTTACAGAACAGAATGGAGAGGAAAGGCCCATTGTGTTCACAGCAAGGTCACGAATGAAGATGGAGGAGAAGTCTGCTCAAGTGGAAAAGGAAGGATTGAGCATCATGTTTGATGTTCAGAAGGTCATCCATTTCCTTTACTTGGTGCTGCTGACAGGCCATAGGCCACTAACCTCCATTTTTGGCCTGTATATTGGGAATACTGTCAATGGTGGCAGCATGCCTACAGAGATGGGCACTGGCTGTATCAGCCTACCCCATATGGGACCAGATGCTGAGAGGCAGAGAAGCATGGCAATCCATGTGCCCAGTCGAGGGTGCTGTAACCGGGGAATGAAGATGTTCCTGACTGGAACCTGAGAATTATGTACCTTTCACCTGGTTCGCCAATCTGATTTGCTGATACCAACACCATGTCATCCAGGGAATCAGTGAGTCACATGTGGAACATTACACAGAATGACCTGGTTCTGAGCCAAGTGGTGGATATAGTCCTGAGAGGGAGGGTCAGTGATGGAGAACACTCAGGATTACTCCTTTGCCCCTGTTAGTTGGGTGTTTAATGTGGGCAAAGGGAGTTGTTATCCCTCCCCCATTAAGGGGAAAGGTGCTCAAACAAAGGCACCAAGGGCAGCCCGATATGGTGCAAATGGAGGAGATGGCCAGGAGCTACTTTTAGTGACCAATTGTGGACTTCCAGCTTGAGGATAAAGTGGGATCCAGCACATTAGTGAGGAATATGCAGCCATTGTCACCCCCTTCACTCATGGGAATGGCCTCAATCACTATGGCAACACAATCTCATTGATAGCACGGGGCCTAGAGAGGGTCGGGTGTTACCAGTGCGTGTGGATGCCCAAGTATCCCAAGAAGTCAATATTGCGGGATCAATGATAGACCAACTGGATAAAATATTTGCCAACTTTGGGAACCCTGAACAAGGTGTGAGTGACAATGTTTGTGGTGCAGAGTTTGAGGAATACCTGGAATATTTCAGTCAGAGTGAGGTCAGCTCCATATCACCCTGTGACAAACAGTGAGGTGGTGAGGCTTGTACAAACCTTGAAGCTGGTCTTAAAGGCCTCACAGCTAGGATAGTGACTCAACAAGTTCTCAGCATTTTCAGGAACACATCACACATGATGACCCAGTACTTGTCACATTCTTAATGTTCAATTACCAGCTGAGAACCATTGTTTTCCTCACTGCGGTCAGATGAGACCAGACGGATTGTAGAGGGAAACCAAAGAAGATAGATGGTCAGAAAGGTGGGAACCTCAAGGTCAGTGGTGTTGCAAAGAAAATGTGTTGGCCCAGAATTACACATCTGGGAATAAATGGATCCCAGTGATGGTGGTGGCTCATACAGGACCATTGTCATGTACAGTACAGACCAGGGATCAACTGGTCTGGGGGAGACACATGGACTAGCTGGTCCCTTCCTAATAGCGATATCCCCCAGAATACCGAGCCTGTGCCGATGGGTCCTGTAGTAATTTAAACATCAACCAGCTGGACCTTATCTACCTGTACTGACACCTTCAGTGATCTGGGGACTTGCACACCCAGATCCCTCTGCATATCAATACTCCTAAGGGTTCTGCCATTCACTATATAACTTCCACCTGTACTTGACCTTCCAAAATGCACCACCTCACATTAGTCTGCATTAAACACTATCTGCCATTTTTCTGCCCATGCCCCAACTGATCTATATCCTGCTGTATCCTCTGATAATTCTCCTCACTAACTGCAATTCCATCAATCTTTGTATTATCCGCAAATTTACTAATTAGACCAGCTACATTTTCCTACAAATCATTTATGTAGACCACAAACAGCAGAAATCCCAGCACAGATCCCTGGGGAACACCACCAGTCACATTCCGAAGACCATCCTTCACTGCTACCCCCTGTCTCCTGTGACTAAGCCAGGTCTGTAGCCATCTTGCCAGCAAACCCCGATACCATGTGACTTCACCTTTTTGTACCGGTCTGCCATGAGGGACCTTGTCAAAGGCTTTACTGAAGTCTATGTAGACAACATCAACTGCTTTCCCCTCAATCATCTTCATTACCTCCTCAATCAGTTCGTGAGGCATGACCACCCTCACACAACAGTGCTGCCTAGCGCTAATCAGTCTATTTCCTTCTAAATGTGTAGAGATCATGTCCCTGAGAATCTTTTCCAATAATTTTCTCTATCGTCATGGTTCATCGGAGGCCTCACTGATGATGTTACCTGGCATGGTGACGAAACGTCATAATGAGAACAAGCCCAGCTTGGCGAGCAAGTCAACAACCTCAGCAGGATACAGTGCTGAATGATCAGCCATGATCATGTTGAAAAGTGGAGCAGGTCTGAAGGATTGAATGGTCTGTTTCTGTATTTTCACCCTGTCTTTAGTTCCAGAGGATTGGGCTAAAAGGGTAAAGATGTCTGCGTTTAATTTTACCAGGATTTGTAGAACCCATGTCTTGGAATGCTGCCTACAGTTTTGTTCTCCTTAGGTATGGAAGGGCGTACTGACCCTAAGTAAGTCCCTGGGATGAGGGCTTCGTAAACGTTGGGTTTGTTTGGTGAGATTTGGTCATGCTTTTGCAGACAGTGGAGGGGACGATGATCTCTGGAGTTTACAATAGGAACTGAACTCTTGGAAGCCAACAGACTGTGAAGGGACCTGATGGGGTAGACATTGAGACTGTGTGTTTTCCTTGGTTGGGGAATCTTAAAACACAGCCTACAGAGGCTGGATAAGTGCCTAATCCTTTAAGACCATGATGAGGAGAAGTCACTTCATTCTGTGGGATGTCATTGCCCAGAGTTTCTGTCCTGGGGAACATTCCAACATTGTTGTTTTTCTCCCTCGTTGTGAGGGTGTGACTAACTGTGCATGTTGTGTTTGAAGGGGGAGCCTAGCTTTGAGGGTGACCAGCTGGTTGAAGGTGGGAAGCTGACTAACAGTACGGAATACCGCGAGGCTCGGCAGTATCGCAGTCCCACTCACCTCCTGCATTTTTACTTTCTGACACGGATTTACTCCGACTACATGGATAATATCTTAGCCGATTTCCAAAGAGAACCACAACCTGATGTCCTTATTGTTAACTCATGTATCTGGGATATCTCCAGGTACGGAGCTGAGAGCTGGTGGGGTGTGGGTCATGTGGTGTGGGGTGGGGGTGGGTCATGTGGTGTGGGGTGGGGGTAAGGGTGGGGGTGGGTGGGGGTTGGGAGAGGGGTATGGGGCGTGGCCTGCAATAGCAGAGAGAGAAACCTAATCCCAGCTGTAGTTGTTGCTGGGCAGGCCAGATCCCAGGCTGAAATCCCACTTCATTGCATTTATTTTGAGGTGATCGCTCGCTGAAACACAAATAAGTAACATTGAAGATTTAGGTTCGATAAAACAGAAGTTATTTATGTAAAATAAAGATAGCATTGAATAAAGCAGACTATTTTCGTATAACACAAACTTACAGATTTTGAACTATGTGGTAACAGATTTTTGGCTAATGTGTGAATGTCCTTCCGAAGTCGCTGTGCATCATCCTCCATTCAACGTTCTCCTTAGCTTAGTATCAACTCAGTGTCTCACTTTTCTCTCTCTCTCTTTCACCACCACCTCTTCCCCACCCCATCTGTCTCTTCTCACTCAACATTCCCCGCACCCCGTTTCCCCCCAACCCCACCAGCAGGTATGGCTCCAATTCCATTGAGCAATATCGAGAGAATCTGGTCAAGTTCTTCACAAGGCTGAAAGAGGTCCTTCTCCCAGAATGCCTTGTGATCTGGAACATGGCCATGCCACTGGGTGAGAAAATCAAAGGTGGTTTCCTGATACCAGAGGTACGCTTGTTAGAAATAGCTGTGTAGCTGTGGCCATTCGTTTGAACTGTACAGCACAAGAACGGGCCCTTTGGCCCACAATGCTGTGCTGAACATAACCAAATGAAACTAATCCCTTCTGCCTGCCCTTGGTCCATATCCCTCCATTGCTTGCATATTCATGTGCCTTTGTGAAAGTCCCTTAAACCCCCTTAATATATCCATATCTGCCTATTCCACTCCTATCCCTGGCAGTATGTTCCAGACTCCTACCACTCTGTGTTTTTAAAAAAAAAACTTTTCCCCCTCTCACCATAAATACATGTCCCCTAGTATTAGACATTTCAACTCTGGGAAAAAGATCACGACTGACAATCCTATCTATGCATCAAACCTATCTAATTTTATAGACTTCTATCAAGTCTCCCCTCAGCCTGCACTGTACCAGAGAAAACAACCTGAGTTTTTCTAACCTCTCCTTATAGCTCATACCCTCTAATCCAGGCAGCATCCTGGTGAATCTTTTCCACACCCTCTTCAAAGCCTCCACTTCCTTCCTGTAATGTGACCACCAGAACTGAATGAAATACTCTAAATGTGGCCTAACCAAAGTCTTATAAAGCTGCAACATGACATCTTGACTCTTGTACTTAACTCCCCAACCAATAACGGTATGCATGCCGTATGCCGCCTTTACCACCCTATCTACTTGTGTGGCCAGTGACTGGGTGGTCTCTGTTCCTTGTGTTTAACTTGCTATCTGTTTTGGATGCAGCTGCAATATCTGGATGTGAGTTTGCGTTATGATGTGATCGAAGCCAATTTCTACAGTGCCCTGTTGGCTGATGCTCATGGCTTTGATGTGTTGGATTTGCATTACCAATTCCGGTTTGAACTGCAGCACCGTGCAGCTGATGGAGTTCATTGGAGCCATGTTGTTCACCGCCGAATTACCCAGCTCCTGCTCCAGCACATTGCGTCTGCCTGGGGTGTGGCTCTGCCCCCTGGGAAGCCACGAGGGAACATGAGACTTAGAGGACCATCAGCCCTTCTTCCCCTCCGCCATCC